TATCGAGATATCTTTACTTGAATCTTTAAAAATTTTTATTTTTTGCTGGGGGGTACAAATACCAAATTTGGGGGGTATGAATACCAGCACCCTAAATATAATAATTCTATTTATGATAATAAAAATATTATTATTATATGTATTAAATAAAAATTTTCTAATTTAATATAAACACTCATTGTATATTATAAATTATTGTTTGATATTGTTACTGCAAATACAGATGCCTTTCAAATTTAATATTTATTTTTTTAAAACATTTATCGCTAAGTTGTAAATTACTATTTAATATTGTTACTGCATATGTAGATGCAATTAAATATTATTAATTTTTTCTATAAATAACCAGTTTTCCAATGTTGCTTCGTGATTATTATATATAGCTTGAATGGAAGATTCAATTATTGCTTCATTATAAATAATTTAATTATTAGTATTGAAATTGTCAATATTTGCAATCGTTTGCATTACTTCTTTCTCCTCAAATTGTTCTAAATTATTATTACTATTGTCCATATTATTAAATTTGATATTAGATATAATTTCGGCATAACATCTTTCATTAGAATTAGGTGCATTAATTTGAACAATTTGTTTGAAATTATTTATATTTTTATTTTGAATATGATTTGAATGATTTTTTTCTTGGGCTATATGCCACCGAATACATGTCATTTTTATTGCATGTTCATTTGTCAGTTGGTGACATTTTGGTGAATAAATATTCGCTATGAATGACCAGAATCTTTCACTTTCAGCTGATGTAGGTGGTATAGACATAATTTGAGCAGCAAAAGTAGCCAATTCTGGTACTTCATTTTGAAGATTATTCCAGAAGTATACAGGATTTTCAACTAGATAGTCATCCCAATTTCCATTAAAGTCAACAGATATACTTTATTATTCCAATCGATCAACTGTATTCAAAATTTTTTTATATCCTTATTAGGAAATAAATGTTCAAATAAATGACTAGCTTCTTTCTTTACAATCGTTGTAAGTTCAGGTCTAATAGCTCTTATACAAAAATATTTTAGGTGAAGAGACCAACAGATAACAAAAAGTAAACTATACATTCAATTCCATCGATGTTGTATCTGTGCAATTACATAATGCCAAAAATCTTCATCAGCAATCATATTAACAACTCCTTGTAGTCAAGCCTACAAATACATTGTATTAGCAAGTGTCGCATGCTAAGATTCTAATATAATAGAAATTAGTGAATATAGTTCTAATATTCGAACAATAACTCTTAATCGATCCCAGAATGTATTGTCCTTAAGAATTGATATAATAGATTCATTTGACTGTAACCTATATTGTAAACCATATCCTTAAAAAATATATATATATATATATTAATCTTAATTTTATATTAATTATATTAT